TAGTATGGGCATCGTGGGACAGGTGGACGCTAATATTTCTATTGGGGGGGTCTCGGCCTCGGGCGTTGTGTTAATTTCGAGGTCCCTGGCGGTTCCTTGCTTGTTGGGCACGGATTTTTTGGCTAAGATGCCCATTTAATTAGAATCAATGAAAATTGCATTGAACTACCAGGGGGCCGCAAATTGGCGTTTTTACAGTCCGCCTGGGGGCGACCGGCTCCGGTTGCCCAGGTGCAGGCGTTATCGGAAGTTTCAGTTGATATTCCACCTGGCTCGCAGATGCTCATTCCCCTACGATACCGGAAGCCGGTTCCGGGTCGGCAGGGTGCTTGTGGAATTTTGCTGTCGCCGTCCGCCGCTGTTACGGGCGGATTGGCACTGGTGGGGGCGCAAACCATTGTCCGTCCGGATCAACGCCCGTTTTTGCAGGTGTTAAATGCGAGTTCTGAAAGCGTGTGTGTGCCGGCTGGTACCGTTGTGGCACACGCCACTACGGCGTTTACGGCTCAGAGTGACATTCCGGACGGGGGGCTGGTGGGTGGTGTTTCACACGACGGAGGGGTGGACGATCGTTGGATCGCCGAACTATGTGCGGAAAATTCGGCCCTTTCCGCTGAGCAGCGTTGTGCGATTCATAAATTATTAGCGAGCTATTCCGATGTGTTTAGCTCGGACGATTTGGACTTGGGACGCACCTCGCTGCTCTCTCATCACATCGAAACGGGGGACGCGGCCCCTATCCGCTTGAACTCGCGTCGGATGAGTCCGGCTGAGCGTGAGCACGTTCGAGGGGCAGTGGAAGACATGTTGAAAGCGGATATTATATCTCCGTCTAATAGCCCGTGGGCGCGCCTGTCGTGTTGGTTAAAAAGAAAGATGGTAAATTACGATTTTGTGTGGATTTTCGGAAGTTAAATAAAGTGTCGGTGGCAGATGCGTATCCCCTGCCGCGTATGGACGATTCTCTCGACGCCTTGTCAGGGGCTAAGTTTTTTTCAACGCTAGATCTCTCTTCGGGCTTCTGGCAGCTTCCCCTTGACGAGCCCTCGCGGGAAAAGACAGCGTTCCGTACGCCGCAGGGGTTGTTCCAATTTAACTGTCTGCCGATGGGGTTGAATGCAGCCCCTGCCACCTTTCAGAGATTGATGGAGTTGGTATTGACGGGGTTGCAGTGGGAGACATGTCTCATTTATTTAGATGATATTATTGTCTTCAGCCGCACATTTGATGAGCATTTATTGCGGTTGGAGGCCGTTTTTGCCAGAATGCGTTCTGCTAATTTGAAATTCAAGCCTAAGAAATGTCATCTACTGCAACGTTCCGTTCGATACTTGGGACATATTGTTAGTGCGGACGGGGTGGCCACGGATCCAGAGAAAACTGCGTGTGTCCGGGATTGGGCAACCCCCGCCACGGTGGGTGATGTGCGTCGGTTTTTGGGGTTCGCCTCATATTACCGGAGGTTTGTTCCGAATTTCGCTACTATCGCCAGGCCTTTGCATCTCCTTACTGGGAAGGGGCACAAATTTGTGTGGGGACCGCCGGAGGAGGCGGCGTTTCGGAGCTGCGCGATCTACTGGCTACTGCGCCGACGTTGGATTATCCGGATTTTGAACATCCCTTCATTCTGGATACTGATGCGAGTGACACCGGGATTGGGGCGGTGTTGTCCCAGTCAAAAGGTGGTGTTGAGCGTGTGGTGGCGTACGGGAGTCGGGTTTTGTCTCCCGCGGAAACTCGTTACTGCGTCACTCGCAGGGAACTTTTGGCTATTGTGTATTTTCTCCGCCAATTTCGACCGTATCTGTACGGTCGGTCGTTTATTGTCCGAACGGACCATGCGGCCTTGCAGTACGCTCTTAAGATGGACCAGCCATCCGGACAATTGGCGAGATGGCTGGACACGTTGCAAGAATTCTCCTTCCAAATTCACCATCGGAAGGGTGTGCGTCACGCTAACGCGGACGCACTGTCCAGGTTGCCGCAACAATCCCCTTGTGCGTGTGCGTCGGGGACGCATAGGTGTGGACCGGCTCAGCCCCCCCCTCAGCCTGTCGCGCGGGCAGTGGATGTTCTCGAACCTCCGCTTACACCGGGACCGGTTGAAGGGGGACCGGCTGACGGGATTTTGCGTCTTCCAAGGTCTGTGTGGATTCGGGAGCAAATGTTGGACGATTCTTTGGTGTCGTTACGGAAACGAACGGAGAGGGCGGGTAAGGAAGTCGGTGCGGGTGGTAATTCGGAAACTGCTCTCCGAGATGGGTTACTGATGTGGAGGGAAGGGATACAGGAACACTGGCGTCTCGTTGTGCCCGCGTCATTGCGCTATGAGCTGATTAGATCTTTGCACTGTGACACACTTTTACACCTGGGGGTGCAGAAAACCCTATTGACGCTGCAACGAGACTATTATTGGCACGGCATGACGACGGATGTCGTCGGTCACGTTCGCGCGTGTCCCGATTGTGCCCGCCGTAAGCCGCCTAAACATCCATATGTTCCGCCGATACAATCGATTAAAGTATCTCGGGTTAATGAGCTGGTGGCGTTAGATATTTTGGGGCCCTTTCCGCCATCAGCTAAAGGGAATAAGTATTTATTGGTGGGGGTGGAGTACCTCTCTCGCTGGCCGATGGCCTGGCCCTTGCCTGACCAGTCAGCGGCGTCTATCACTGACGCCTTTCTATTTGGGTATGTAATGGACAAAGAGGCTCCGGAGAGGCTCCTTACGGATCAGGGACGTAACTTTTCATCTAAATTGTTGGGGGAGGTGTGTGCGGCTCTTGGAACTAAAAAGATACGGACGTCCCCCTACCACCCGCAAACGGATGGTATGGTGGAACGGTTGAATCGGACTCTGTCCGCCATGCTGTGCCATACAGTCGGGGAAAACCAATCTGATTGGGATTTGCATATCCCTGGGGTGCTTTCGGCGTATCGCATGACGCCGCACGCGGCTACTGGATACTCGCCGTTTTTCCTTATGTACGGCCGTGAGAACGTGCCGCCGATTCATGACCAGTTGGGAACCGGTGCGAGGGGGCCTGTTAAGCCTCTTCCTGAGTATATTAAGGACAACGTTCGGCGTGTCGCTGAGGCGAGGGAAAATGCCCGCATGGCTACTGCCAAGGCTCAGGCCAGGAATGAGCGGTGTGCCCGACGTTCAAAGGGGGAGTGTCCCTGGAAAAAGGGGGACCTGGCCTGGCTTCATTGCCCACAGGTGCGGCCAGGTACATCTCCTAAATTACATCGACCTTGGCAGGGTCCGGTCCGCCTCATTGAGGTTCCCAACCCACAGTCGGCGCGTGTTCAGGTTGGTGCACGGCGTTGGTTCGTGCACACGTCCCGGTTGAAGCCATACATTGCCCCACGGCCGGATGCGTCATCTCCCAAAGTTGCCTTGCCGGGGTCTGTTGCTGCCGACTCGCCCTTGCCTGTGTCTGCTGACCTTGCGAGAGCGCCTGTCGTACCCTTCACAGACAAGCCGGCCGTGACAGCGCAGGGAGGAGGACCTTCCGCTTGTGGGACGCCGACCGGAGCCGCAGAACCCACGGGACCTGCAGCTCTTCCTATCCCTCCGCGGACGCGAGTACGGGATGTTTCTGGACGCGAGCGGGACAGTGGCGGGCCTCCAATGGCGACGGAAGAACTTGCGCCCGTCGCCCCTAAAACCCTTCCACGTTCCCGCTCGGCGGGTGGGCCGCCGACCGTCCGGGACGGCCCGGCTACCCGTACTCGCTCGAAATCCCTCACGTTTCGTTAGATTGTGTTGTGTTGTGTTATTGTTATGATGTTCTTCAATGCTTCGTGTCTTTTTGCGTGTTGGCCCTTTACACCCGCATTGCTTTTCAGGTTGCAATTCAGCCGAGGTCGGCTGGATTTTCTTTAAGGGGGAGGGTGATGTAATGCGGTTGTAAACGGCCCTTCTGAGGTGCCGTCAGGGGGGGAGGAGTTAGGTCACGTGGGGGGCAGAGGGGTTGAGTATAGAAGGAGGGGGAACCGGAAGAGCAAGGGGAGTGACGGGGAACCAGGAACAGAGGAAGGCCACGAAGGGCGAAGCAGGGTGTGGCGAGATCGCCACGAACACGGGGGGAGCGAGGATCGGCACCGTTGGCCAGCGGTGACCGACCCGAAGCAGCGAGGAGGCTGCAGTCAGCAGCGGGGCTGCACAGAGAGAGTGGGCAGCGGGTCTGCATACAGTGACAGCCAGAGGGTCTGCACATAGGGGTAGCAGCGGGAGTCTGCATAGGGGTAGCAGCGAGTCTGCAGGGAGGAGGTTACAGTAGATGAAGCAGAGAGTCAGAGGGGAGAGGAAGCTATAATAGCAGTGAATAGCCGGGGGCTACAAATACAGGAGTTATAACAGAGTGCCGTGTGGGTAGAGACGTGAACCTGAATAAAGACACGAAGACAGAAAGAAGTGTTCGAGTCCTTTTATTACACTAGTATACTACACTATACACTACACTATACACTAGTGCTGTACTAGTACACTACACTAAGATACACTACACTACACACTACACTATACACTACACTAAGATACACTACATTATACACTACACTAAGATACACTATACACTACACACTACACTAAGATACACTACATTATACACTACACTAAGATACACTATACACTACACACTACACTAAGATACACTACACACTACACTATACACTACACTATTATATACTAGTATACTACACTATACACTACACTATACACTAGTGCTGTACTAGTACACTACACTATACACTACACTAAGATACACTACACTATACACTACACTATTGTTACTACACTACACTACACACTACACTACACGATACACTACACGACACACTACACACTACACACTACTCTACTATACACTATACACTACACTACACACTACACACTACACTAAGATACACTACACTATTATACACTACACTATACACTACACTATTGTTACTACACTACACTACACACTACACTATACACTACAGAACGGGGCGACTCACGCTTCATGATCCTTCAGCTCGGCGAAGCGCGCCAGCAGCTTCTGGCGCTCCATCTCCGACTGAGGCGGTGCCAGGGAGAGGGGCAAAGGGGTCCAGTGAGAAGCCACACACGCACACACACGCACACACACGCACACACACGCACACACACGCACCCACACGCACCCACACAGCACACTCACACAGCACACACAAAGCACACACTCACTCACTCACTCACAAAGCACACACTCACTCACTCACGCACTCACGCACTCACTCACACACACACACAGCGCACACTCACTCACTCACACACACACGCTCACACACGCTCACACACACACACACACACGCACTCGCTCACTCACACACTCGCGCACACACACACACTCGCACGCACACACACACACACACTCATACACACGCTCACACACACACACACACACCACTCACACTCTCGCACTCTCGCACTCTCACCCACTCACCACTCACTCACCAGGATGACCTTCTCACACATTCACCACGCACTCTCACACACTCACCACTCACTCTCACACACTCACACACTCACACACTCACACACTCGCACTCTCACCCACCCACCAGACTCACCACTCACTCACCAGGATGACCTTCTCACACACTCACCACTCACTCTCACCACTCACCACCCACTCACCAGACTCACCACACACTCACCAGGATGACCTTCTCACACTCTCACCCACTCACCCACTCACTCACTCACCACCACCACTCACCAGGATGACCTTCTCACACTCTCACCCACTCACTCACCACTCACCACCACCACTCACCAGGATGACCTTCTCATACACTCACCACTCACTCTCACACACTCACCACTCACCACTCACACACTCACACGCTCACCACTCTCACACTCTCACCACTCACACTCACCACCCACTCACCACCACTCACCACCCACCAGGATGACCTTCTCACACACTCACACACTCACCACTCACACACTCACCAACACCACTCACCAGGATGGCCTCACCCACTCACCACCACTCACCACCCACCAGGATGACCTTCTCACACACTCACCACTCACACACTCACCACTCACCAACACCACTCACCAGGATGGCCTCAACCACTCACCACCCCACTCACCCACTTACACTCTCACACTCTCACACTCTCACCCACTGACCCACTCACCACCACCCACCAGGATGACCTTCTCACACACTCACCACTCACCCACTCACCACACTCACCACTCTCACACTCACCCCACTCACACTCACCACCACCACTCACCACCCTCACCCCCCACACACTCACCACCACCACTCACCAGGATGACCTTCTCGCACTCTCACCCACTCACCACTCACCCACTCACCCACTCACCCACTCACCCACTCACCCACTCACCCACTAACCACCCGCTCACCACCCACTCACCACCACCACTCACCAGGATGAGCTTCTCACACACTCACCACTCACCCACTCACCACACTCACCACTCACACACTCCCCACTCACACTCACCACCACCACTCACCACACTCACCCCCCACACACTCACCACCACCACTCACCAGGATGACCTTCTCGCACTCTCACCCACTCACCACTCACCCACTCACCCACTCACCCACTCACCCACTCACCCACTCACCCACTAACCACCCGCTCACCACCCACTCACCACCACCACTCACCAGGATGAGCTTCTCACACACTCACCACTCACCCACTCACCACACTCACCACTCACACACTCCCCACTCACACTCACCACCACCACTCACCACACTCACCCCCCACACACTCACCACCACCACTCACCAGGATGACCTTCTCGCACTCTCACCCACTCACCACTCACACACTCACCCACTCACCCACTCACCCACTCACCCACTCACCCACTCACCACCCGCTCACCACCACCACTCACCAGGATGAGCTTCTCGCACTCTCACCCACTCACCACTCACACACTCACCCACTCACCACTCACACCCACTCACCACCCGCTCACCACCACCACTCACCAGGATGAGCTTCTCGCACTCTCACCCACTCACCACTCACACACTCACCCACTCACCCACTCACCACTCACACCCACTCACCACCCGCTCACCACCCGCTCACCACCCGCTCACCACCCGCTCACCACCACCACTCACCAGGATGAGCTTCTCACGCAGGTGCGCCGTGTGATCCACAGCGACCTGCAGCTCCCTGCTCAGCTGGGCGTTGGCCTCGTGCAGACTCCGGTTTCGCTCCAGCACCGACTGCACGCTGGCGGCCTGTCCCTCACCACCGCTGATGATGGTGCCAACACGAGGGGGGGGGGGCATGGGGGGGGGGTGGGGGAACGTCAGAAGAGACCCATAGAGATACACAGAGACCCATAAAGACCCATAGAGATACACAGAGACCCATAAAGACCCATAAAGATACACAGAGACCCATAAAGACCCATAGAGATACACAGAGACACAAAGACCCATAGAGATACAGAACCACACAGAGACCCATAGATACACACAGAGACCCACAGAGATACACAGAGACCCACAGAGACCCATAGAGACACACAGAGACCCATAGATACACACAGAGACCCATAAAGATACACAGAGACCCATAAAGACCCATAGAGAAACACAGAGACCCATAGAGAAACAGAGACCCATAGATACACAGAGACCCATAGAGATACACAGAGACCCACAGAGACCCACAGAGACACAGAGACCCATAAAGACCCATAGAGACACAGAGACCTGTAGATACACACAGAGACACACAGAGACACACAGAGACCCATAGATACACACATAGACCCATAGAGACACACAGAGACCCATAAAGACCCATAAAGACACAGAGACACACAGAGACACACAGAGACATGCAGAGACACACAGAGACACACAGAGACACACAGAGACAAGCATCACTGGTGGTGGTTGTTGGCCGTGAGCGGGGATCGAACTCGGGTCTCTGCCGCATTCTCAGCACGGCACGCTAACCGCTGCACCGCCACTCCCCCACCACCACCACCATCGCCACCACCACCACCACCACCGCCACCACCACCACCACCACTCCCACCACCCCCGCCACCACCACCCCCACCACCACCACCACCGCCACCCCCCCCACCACCACCGCCACCACCACCCCCATCACCCCCACCACCCCCACCGCCACCCCCCACCAACACCCCCACCACCCCCACCACCATCCCCCCCACCACAACCCCCACCACCACCACCCCCACCACCCCCACCACCATCCATCCCCCCCACCACCATCCCCCCCACCACAACCACCACCACCACCATCGCCACCACCACCACCACCACCGCCACCACCACCACCACCACCCAACGTGGTGAGCGGCGGCTCTGGCTCCAGCTGGCTCTGTGTATGCGAGCGAGCGAGCGTGGGGGACGTGAGAGAGACACACAGAGAGACACAGAGACACACAGAGAGACACAGAGAGACACAGAGAGACACAGAGAGACACAGAGACACACAGAGAGACACAGAGACACACAGAGACACACAGAGACACACAGAGAGACTGTGGTGCCACAGCGACGGGGCCGCTCTGCCGAGCCAGGGAGCCGCCCGGCTTCCCCCACCGCACTGCCCCCAATCACCCGCCCCACATAAGCACACACCCGCACGCATCCCCCCCCCCCCCATAGAGCTGGAAGGGAAGGTTACCTGATCGACCGGTTTTTATCCGAGAGACCCTTATCGGGATTAATTCTCACGGTTTCCGGCGATCAGGGAATTGGATGACCTCCCCGTGCTACGTGGCACCGCGGCGCTGCTGCCGGCCTTAATATGGTGTGGTCGCGGCGTGGGGCATTCGGCCACCGCGGTTGAGGCGCATTTCCCCCCACACACACCCCCACGAGTCGACGGGGCAAGCAGGGGAGGCACGGGACAGCATGAATAGCGGGGTCACAGGGGCTGTTGCGCATAGTCATGGAGGGTTGGGATAATTGCGCTTGAGCGCGCAAGCCCCATTGGTAGGAAGGGTAAGGGAGTAATTAGGATTTACGCCTTGCACGCAGCACACTGATTAGCATATCAACAGCGCCTGGGGACTGCCGTGCGCGGGCTTGGGGTGCACGAGCCCATTGTTCAGCGCAGCATCCCCTTTGGGAGGTAGGGAGGATAAATAGAGGAGCGCAGAGGGGAAATCGCTCTCTTACTCCAGCGCCAGGCGACCAGACGCAGCTCGGGCCACCGACCCGGACGTCCGTGCGACGCACCGAGGCACGCGGTTAACACAAGGATCAGCGGACCGCCGTGGACACTTAACAGTGAGTAAGAAGGGGAATTAGAATCATAGCCGATAAATAGGGAATAGGTGCCGGTTTAGTGGAATAGGCCAGCCTCGTCGACTCACTAATTCAACATTAGTTATCAGGTAATAAATCATTAATAGCGAAGCGTGGTCTCGCGTGATCTTGTCGTGCAGTGTGAGCGTGTGGGTGCGCTGTGTGCACAGTGGTTCGCCACGTGAGTGAGCGCTGCGCGGAGCTGAGCGCGCGGGTTGCGTGTGGGAACGCGTGTGGTACTGTGTGTGCGTAAGCTCGCGGCGTGCGTAATAGGCGTACCCCAGGTGCGCGATCATAACGCAAGCGGCCAGCAGACGGCGAGCGCTGCGCAGAGCGGCGCAAGAGTGGGTGTCGCGTGTGTTCACTCCGTGTGTGATACAGGTGCGCGATCATAACTTGCGTAGTTGGTGTGGAGTTGGAGTGCACGGAGCGGCGTGTGTGTGTGTGCATACGTTCGTTACATGTCGGACACGGATGCGCATTGGTAACGTGCCGCACAGGGCTATACTGCGAGCACGGCGTTTGATTGACGATGATGTGCGCACGTATGCTCGCAGCGTGGGAGCGCGGCGCGAGGCTGTAACCGTAGTGGCGTCGCATTCGAATGCCGGCAAAACCGTAGCGAGTAATAGGGAGGTGGGGTAACTTAACGGAATAGGGGATGCTGGCGGGAGGGACCCCGGGGGCCAACGGCCCCCACAAGACACAGAGAGACACACAGAGAGACACAGAGAGAGACCCACCCCTGCATCGTGACGATACCTCCACCCCGAGCCTGCAGCAGCTGCACCTGCAGCTGTTGAACCTGCAACAGAGAAACGCAAAACTCTCGGTCGACGATAACGACGATGACGATACCCAGCCGGGTACGGGTATCGGGTACCCGGTTGCGACCTCTGGGATGAAGCCATGTTGCAGGCGCAGGTGGGTTGATTCTAGGAACTTGAATTGTGAGAAGAGACAAGACGTTGGGAAATGAGTGACAAACGGTGACTCACCAGTGACTCACGGCCTACCCGTACCCTACCCGTACCCTACCCGTACCCTACCCGTACCCTACCCGTACCCTACCCGTACCCTACCCGATACCCGGCCATACCCATACCCGGCCATACCCATACCCGGCCGGGTACAGGTAACCGGGTATCGGGTAGGGTACGGGTATCGGGTACCCGATTGCGACCTCTGGATACCGGCCTTCATTAAGCGCTGCTGCTCCTGCTACTGCTGCTGCTGCTACTGCTGCTGCTGCTACTGCTGCTGATGCTACTACTGCTGCTGCTACAGTCTGAAAGAGGCTACACACGGGGGCAGGCGGGGGCTAGAATCTCTCTCTGCGTCTCCGGTGTCGAGAGGTAACACACCTGTTGCCGGAGCATCTGCAGTTCGACCGTGTTGGGGTCACGGTTCACGATCGGCTTGTTCTTGATCTTGCGCGCACGGTCAGCGTAGCGCAGAGTGTTGAGGGTTTCTTCCAGGTTGGAGTCGCCCGGGCTGATGCAGGCCACCATGAGGGTCAGGCTGTTACTTCCCAGAGAATCTAGAGAGAGACAGGGAGAGACACGCATACATATACATACACACATACACACACATACAAAGATCAAAGATCCCCCCGTATAGCCTTAACAGACTGTAGGGGCAAGTGCTGTTAGCGAGCACCTATGAAGGCCGGAACGGTACACGAGGGGGTGGATGGCCAGCACCACGCCCGACCGCCTTTGTCTTCCCAGTGGCGAAGTTTACACACCGCACCAGGTACTCATTTAAGGCCGAGTCGAACTAGGGGAGGCCCAGGACTGGTTCAGATAATCGTCATTGGTGTTAGCCGTGAGCGGGAATCGAACCCGGGTCGCCAGGTTCATAGCGCAGCACGCTAACCGCTACACTACCGCTCCCCACACACATACACGCACACACACATACATACACACACAGGCCACCATGAGGGTTAGGCTGTTACCTCCCAGAGAAGAGAGAGACACATACATACACGCACACATACATACACGCTTACATACACGCACACACATACACACACACACATACATACACACAGACACGCACACGCACATACACACACACACACACGCACATACACACACACATACACACGCGCACATACATACAAACACACACACACATACGCACATACACACACACATACACACGCGCACACACGCAGGTCACCATGAGGGTCGTCGTACGCCACGTGAGTGACTCGCGCATGCCACGAGCGTGTCACGTGTGTGTCACGTGCGTGCCACGTGTCACGCGTGTGCATCTTGCGCGCGTGGCTCAGTCACCTTGCAGCAGCCGCGTGAGCCCTGAGTCACGGTAGGGCACGTGGTGAGCCCGCCGTGCCACTCCCTCCTCCCCGAGCGCGCTGATCACATTGCCAAGCGCCAGCAGGCCGCGGTTGATGTTGATGCCCTCACGCAGGCGGTCACCCTCCGCCTTGGTGCGCTTGGCACGCTGGGAGCCGGCAAGGTCCACCAGGTGGAGCTTGCTGCGGCAGTGACTCTCTCTGAGCGAGCGGGAGGGGAGGCGCGGACATCATGAGCGTTGTCGTTAATACTACTACTGCCATAACCGTCATCATCATCATCAACACCACTACTACCATCATAATCATCATCATCACCGTCATCATCATCACTACCGCCATAACCTTCATCATCATCATCAACACTACCATCATCATCACTACCACAGCCATCATCATCATTATCACTACAATCATCATCATCATCATCACCACCACTACCAGCATTATCATCACCACAGCCATCATCATCACCACCACAACCATCATCATCACCACCACTGCCATCATCATCACCACCACAGCCATCATCATCACCACCACAACCATCATCATCACCACCACTACCATCATCATCACCACCACTACCATCATCATCATCACCACAGCCATCATCATCACCACCACAACCATCATCATCACCACCACAACCATCATCATCACCACCACAGCCATCATCATCACCACCACTACCATCATCATCACCACCACTACCATCATCATCATCACCACAGCCATCATCATCATCACCACAACCATCATCATCACCACCACTACCATCATCATCACCACCACAACCATCTTCATCACCACCACAACCATCATCATCACCACCACTACCATCATCATCACCACCACTACCATCATCATCACCACCACTACCATCATCATCACCACCACAACCATCATCATCACCACCACTACCATCATCATCACCACCACTACCATCATCATCATTACAACAACCATCATCATCACAACCACAACCATCATCACAACCACCACACAACCATCATTATCATCATCACCACAATCATCATCATCACCACCACAACCATCATCATCGTCACAACAATCATCACCACAACCATCATCATTATCATCATCACCACAACCACCATCATCACCACCACCACAACCATCATCACCACCACAACCATCAACACCACAACCGCCACCACCACAACCACCACCACCACCACCACCACCACCCCACCTGTCCTCCCTGCCGCGCTGCTCGATGGTGATAGTGAAGATGGCGTGTGAGCGGGAGGACTGTGCGTTCATGGCGGTGGCTCCCACGGTGCGTGACAGGTTTCCCTGCTGCAGGCAGCAGATTATGTCCTCCGCTGTCGCCACCACGCGCTCAGTCAGGCCGCAGATCTACCGCGGGGGGGGAGAGGGAGGTGAGGTGAGGAGGGGTGAGGGTGGGGGGGGGGTGAGGGAGGAGAGACACGCACGCACACACACAGAGACACACACACACACAGAGACACACACACAGAGACAAATACCGAGACACACACAGACACACACATAGACACGCACACACACATTGACACACACACAGAGACACACACATACACACGCACACATACACACGCACACATACACACAGAGACACACACACACAGACACACACACACACAGACAGACACACACACACACACAGAGACACACACACAAACACACACACACAAACACACACAGAGACACACACACAAACACACACAGAGACACACACACAAACACACACACACAAACACACACACAGAGACACACACACACACACAGAGACACACACACAGAGACACACACACACACACAGAGACACACACACACACACACAGAGACACACACACACAGACACACACACAGACACACACACACACAGAGACGCACACACACAGAGACACAGGCACATACAACCACACACACACACTGAGACACACACACACAGACACACACACACACACACAAAGACACACACACACGCAACACAGAGACGCACGCACACACACAGAGACACACACACACAGAGACACACACACACGTACGGACGGGGTGGCCACCAATAGTAAACGGTGACCAGGAGAGTGTCTCACCTTGATGCCCTCCTTGGGGTCTTCCCTCACGGACAGCAAGGGTCGCTCTTTGCCCACGTACAGCAAGTCGATGATTTCGTCCCGGTAAATCTACACAACAACAACAACAACAGTTTAACACAACTGTCTAACACAACAACAACAGTTTAACACAACTGTGTAACACGACAACAACACGTGTGTGCGCGTGTGTGCACGTGCGTGTGCGTGTGCGTGCGTGCGCGTGCACGTGTGCACATGATGTGCGTGCGTGCACGTGCGTGTACGTGCGTGTACGTGCGTGTACGTGCGTGTACGTGCGTGTACGTGCACATGACGTGCGTGTGCGTGCGTGTGCGTGCGTGTGCGTGCGTGACACGTGTGCACATGACGTGCGTGTGCGTGCGTGTGCGTGCGTGTACGTGCGTGTACGTGCGTGACACGTGTGCACATGACGTGCGTGTACGTGCGTGACACGCGTGCGAACGTGACGCACCTCCAGGTATGACACGGAGATGGCGAACTCATAGGCGTCACGTGACTGCCACCCACGGAACAGAGCGTGCACGGCCCGCGGGATGATCCCGGTGGAGTTTGGATCGGCGTCGCCGCTGTACGCGCCGCCCATCGTGAACGTCTTGCCAGAACCCGTCTGTCCGTACGCCAGCACCGTGGCGTTGTAGCCTGCGAGACGGTGAGCGGGGAGAGGGGTGGGTGGTGACCACCCAGTCACTCACTCACTCACTCGCCCACCCACTCACTCGCCCACCCACTCGCCCGCCCGCCTGCCCACTCGCTCGCCCGCCCACTCGCCCGCCCACTCACCCACCCACTCACCCACTCACTCATCCACCCACACACCCACTCACTCATCCACCCACACACCCACCCACTCACCCACCCACCCACCCACTCACTCACCCACTCACCCACCCACCCACTCACCCGTCACTCCATCTCTTCTCTCACCCGTGCCACTCACCCATCAGCTCCATCTCTTCTCTCGCCCGTACCACTCACCCACCCACTCACCCGTCAGTCCATCTCTTCTCCACCCACCCACTCACCCATCAGTCCATCTCTTCTCGAGCCCGTACCACTCACCCACTCACCAATCTTTTACCTTACGCCCTTACCACTCACTCACTCACCCACCCAATCTCAGAACCATTGCTTCTCTAAGCCCGTGCAGCGATGGTTTAGCCCCTTCTAGCTGGCCAAACTACTCCGCACTCGCTCACAAAGACAAAGATCCCCTGTATAACCTCAGCAGACTGTAGGGGCAAGTGCTGTTAGCGAGTAGCAGCACCTATGAAGGCTACCGGCACTGTGGCACACGAGGGGGTGGGTGGCCAGCACCACGCCCGGCCGCCTTTGTCTCCCCAGTGGCGATGTGCACGACCACACACAGCTACTACACCAGCTACTCACTACCACACACAGCTACTACACCAGCTACTCACTACCACACACAGCTACTACACCAGCTACTCACTACCACACACAGCTACTACACCAGCTACTCACTACCACACACAGCTACTACACCAGCTACTCACTACACACACAGCTACTACACCAGCTACTCACGACCACACACAGCTACTACACCAGCTACTCACGACCACACACAGCTACTACACCAGCTACTCACGACCACACACAGCTACTACACCAGCTACTCACGACCACACACAGCTACTACACCAGCTACTCACTACCACACACAGCTACTACACCAGCTACTCACTACCACACACAGCTACTACACCAGCTACTCACGACCACACACAGCTACTACACCAGCTACTCACGACCACACACCGCTACTACACCAGCTACTCACTACCACACACAGCTACTACACCAGCTACTCACTACCACACACAGCTACTACACCAGCTACTCACTACCACACACAGCTACTACAACCAGCTACTCACGACCACACACAGCTACTACACCAGCTACTCACTACCACACACAGCTACTACACCCAGCTACTCACGACCACACACAGCTACTACACCAGCTACTCACTACCACATACCGCTACTACACCAGCTACTCACTACCACACACAGCTACTACACCAGCTACTCACTACCACACACCGCTACTACACCAGCTACTCACGACCACACACAGCTACTACACCAGCTACTCACTACCACACACAGCTACTACACCAGCTACTCACTACTACACTACACCGCTACTACACCAGCTACTCACTACTACACTACACCGCTACTACACCAGCTACTCACTACCACACACAGCTATACACCAGCTACTACGACCACACAGCTACTACACCAGCTACTCACGACCACACACAGCTACTACACCAGCTACTCACGACCACACACCGCTACTACACCAGCTACTCACTACTACACACCGCTACTACACCAGCTACTCACTACTACACTACACCGCTACTACACCAGCTACTCACTACCACCACAGCTACTACACCAGCTACTCACGACCACACACAGCTACTACACCAGCTACTCACTACCACACACAGCTACTACACCAGCTACTCACGACCACACAAAGCTACTACACCAGCTACTCACTATACCACACACAGCTACTACACCAGCTACTCACTCACCACACACAGCTACTACACCAGCTACTCACGACCACACACAGCTACTACACCAGCTACTCATACCACACACAGCTACTACACCAGCTACTCACTACCACACACAGCTACTACCCAGCTACTCACGACCACACACAGCTACTACACCAGCTACTCACTACCACACACAGCTACTACAACACAACCGCTACTCACTACCACACACAGCTACTACACCAGCTACTCACTACCACACACAGCTACTACACCAGCTACTCACTACCACACACAGCTACTACACCAGCTACTCACTACCACACACAGCTACTACCGCTACACTACCACACACAGCTACTACACCAGCTACTCACTACCACACACAGCTACTACACCAGCTACTCACTACCACACACAGCTACTAACCAGCTACTCACTACCACACACAGCTACTACACCAGCTACTCACTACCACACACAGCTACTACACCCAGCTACTCACTACCACACACAGCTACTACACCCAGCTACTCACTACCACCACACCAGCTACTCACACAGCTACTCACGACCACACACAGCTACTACACCAGCTACTCAACGACCACACACAGCTACTACACCAGCTACCTCACGACCACACACAGCTACTACAACCAGCTACTCACGACCACACACAGCTACTACACCAGCTACTCACTACCACACACACTACTACACCAGCTACTCACTACCACACACAGCTACTACACCAGCTACTCACGACACACACAGCTACTACACCAGCTACTCACTAACCACACACCGCTACTAACCAGCTACTCACTTACCACACAGCTACTACACCAGCTACTCACTACCACACACAGCTACTACACCAGCTACTCACGACCACACACAGCTACTACACCAGCTACTCACGACCACACACAGCTACTACACCAGCTACTCACTACCACACAAGCTACTACACCAGCTACTCACTACCACACACAGCTACTACACCAGCTACTCACGACCACACACAGCTACTACACCAGCTACTCACTACCACATACCGCTACTACACCAGCTACTCACTACTACACTACACCGCTACTACACAGGCTACTCACTACCACACACCGCTACTACACCAGCTACTCACGACCACACACAGCTACTACACCAGCTACTCACTACCACACACAAGCTACTACACCAGCTACTCACTACCACACACCGCTACTACACCAGCTACTCACGACCACACACCGCTACTACACCAGCTACTCACTACCACACACAGCTACTACACCAGCTACTCACGACCACACAGCTACTACACCAGCTACTCACGACCACACACAGCTACTACACCAGCTACTCACTACCACACACAGCTACGACACCAGCTACTCACGACCACACACCGCTACTACAACCAGCTACTCACGACCACACAGCTACTACACCAGCTACTCACGACCACACACAAGCTACTACACCAGCTACTCACTACCACACACAGCTACTACACCAGCTACTCACTACCACACACAGCTACTACACCAGCTACTCACGACCACACAGCTACTACAACCAGCTACTCACGACCACACACAGCTACTACACCAGCTACTCACTACCACACACAGCTACTACAACCAGCTACTCACGACCACCACACCGCTACTACACCAGCTACTCACTACCACACACCGCTACTACACCCAGCTACTCACTACCACACACAGCTACTACACCAGCTACTCACTACCACACACCGCTACTACACCAGCTACTCACGACCACACACAGCTACTACACCAGCTACTCACGACCACACAAAGCTACTACACCAGCTACTCACTAACCAACACACAGCTACTACACCAGCTACTCACTACCACACACAGCTACTACACCAGCTACTCACGACCACACACAGCTACTACACCAGCTACTCACTACCACACACAGCTACTACACCAGCTACTCACTACCACACACAGCTACTACACCAGCTACTCACGACCACACACAGCTACTACACCAGCTACTCACTACCACACACAGCTACTACACCAGCTACTCACTACCACACACAGCTACTACACCAGCTACTCACTACCACACACAGCTACTACACCAGCTACTCACTACCACACACAGCTACTACACCAGCTACTCACTACCACACACAGCTACTACACCAGCTACTCACTACCACACACAGCTACTACACCAGCTACTCACGACACACACACCGCTACTACACCAGCTACTCACTACCACACACAGCTACTACACCAGCTACTCACTACCACACACAGCTACTACACCAGCTACTCACGACCACACACAGCTACTACACCAGCTACTCACGACCACACACAGCTACTACACCAGCTACTCACTACCCACACACCGCTACTACACCAGCTACTCACGACCACACAAAGCTATACAACAAGCTACTTCACTACCACACACAGCTACTACACCAGCTACTCACTACCACACACAGCTACTACACCAGCTACTCACGACCACACACAGCTACTACACCAGCTACTCACTACCACACACCGCTACTACACCAGCTACTCACGACCACACAAAGCTACTACACCAGCTACTCACGACCACACACAGCTACTACACCAGCTACTCACTACCACACACAGCTACTACACCAGCTACTCACTACCAACACAGCTACTACACCAGCTACTCACGACCACACACAGCTACTACACCAGCTACTCACTACCACACACCGCTACTACACCAGCTACTCACTACCACACAGCTACTACACCAGCTACTCACTACCACACACAGCTACTACACCAGCTACTCACGACCACACAGCTACTACACCAGCTACTCACTACCACACACAGCTACTACACCAGCTACTCACTACCACACACAGCTACTACACCAGCTACTCACTACCACACACAGCTACTACACCAGCTACTCACTACCACACACAGCTACTACACCAGCTACTCACTACCACACACAGCTACTACACCAGCTACTCACGACCACACACAGCTACTACACCAGCTACTCACTACCACACACCGCTACTACACCAGCTACTCATACCACACACAGCTACTACACCAGCTACTCACTACCACACACAGCTACTACACCAGCTACTCACGACCACACACCGCTACTACACCAGCTACTCACTACCACACACAGCTACTACACCAGCTACTCACGACCACACACAGCTACTACACCAGCTACTCACTACCACACACAGCTATACACAGCTACTCACTACCACACACAGCTACTACACCAGCTACTCACTACCCCACACAGCTACTACACCAGCTACTCACTACCAACACACAGCTACTACACCAGCTACTCACTACCACACACAGCTACTACACCAGCTACTCACGTGAGCGGGATCGAGCTCGACTCCCCACTCGTTTACGCACACTCACACTCGTGTACACACACGCGTGCACACACACATGCGTGCACACACACGCGCGCGCACACACACACACGCTCACACGCGCGCGCGCACACACGCGCGCGCGCACACACACACACGCTCACACGCGCGCGCGCGCGCACACACGCGCGCGCGCGCACACACTCGCTCCCTCACCTTTGAAAATGCCATCGATGAGAGGGGCCACGGCGTTACTAAACACCTCCTCCTGCTCGGCTGCCGGGTCGAACACGAAGTCGAACGTGAAGGCCTTCTCCCCGCTCAGCACAATCTGCAATCCCCACACACACATATCACACACAGAACACACACAGAACACACACAGATCACACACAGATCACACACCGCCACACCCGTGTAGCCTTAACAGACTGTGGGGCAAGTGCTGTTAGTAGCGAGTAGCAGCAGCAGCACTGCCTGTGAAGGTAGACACAGACAAAGTTCCCCCGTGTAGCCTCTAGCAGGCTGTCGGGGCAAGTGCTGATCGTAGCAAGTAGCAGCAGCAGCAGCAGGGTAGCCGGGTAGGGTACGGGTATCGGGTAGGGTACGGGTATCGGGTAGGGTATCGGGTAGGGTACGGGTATCGGGTAGGGTACGGGTATCGGGTAGGGTACGGGTATCGGGTAGGGTACGGGTATCGGGTAGGGTACGGGTATCGGGTAGGGTACGGGTATCGGGTAGGGTACGGGTATCGGGTAGGGTACGGGTATCGGGTAGGGTACGGGTATCTGGTAGGGTACGGGTATCTTGTAGGGTACGGGTATCGGGTAGGGTACGGGTATCGGGTACCCGATTGCGACCTCTCTGCTTCCTGAAGTCGTGGAGTTATTCCATTACTAGCGGGGTACATTTCATTAAAGCGTGTTTTTTTTTAAAGTTTTTTTAAATATTACTTATTGTTGCACTGTCTGCCGTAGTAACTTGCGGACTTCCCATGCTGGGCCATCTGTGAAAAAACAGCTTCATAAGCCCATCAGATCCCTCCTAAAGTCCAAATAAATATTCAGATTCTGTAAAGTCACGTAGGTAAAAATGAAAATAAAAAATCACGACGTTTCGGAGGCAACACAAGTCTCCGTCATCAGGTGGGGGACCGTCACAGCCAGATTTGCTGCATCAAGTGAGGCAGGGATTCCAAGATGCAAGCTCTTAAATACAAGCCAAGGCGGAGGAGAGGGGGGGGAGGAGCTTATCAGAATGTGGTAGCCAATGAATGGAACGTATCGGGAGGGCGGGGCTAAAAGAGATCACGTGGTGTACGTGGACATGGACATGCCTGTGCACAAGCACCTGTTGATGCACATGATAGAAGTGAACGAAAATGCCCACGTTGTTTATACCAGTGTTGGCTGACAATAAAGAGAGTACTTTTCGATGTAAAGCTTTCGTGACTGCAGGGATTCATCTTCTTGATTCTTTCGGTAAAGTCAGCACGAAGAAGAGAAGTAATACAATAATTAAAATAAAACATAATAAAATAATTCTCACGACGTTTCGGCCACAACGCAAGCAGCCATCCTCAGGTGAAGACCAGGTCTGTCGAGGCGACAGCGTCTGTCGTTAAGGGGATGTTAACACTCGGTAAAGTAAAATAGGCGCTGTCAGATAAGATGGTCCAAAAATGTGTAGTTAAGATTCTGACCAATACCAATCAATATCCGCCATTTGCCACTAAGCGATGGTGACGTCAATGGCACCTATGCCAGGTGGACTTTGAGGCTATCACGTGAAGTGTCGAAGGCTCGCTGCTGACAGGAATTCGCGGGACAGACCCAGCAGGTGCCACGGGTTGGCCAACCGAGATGAGCGGTAGATGCACCACCAGCTGTACCTCCCTACTGTGCCAACTCGCTGCATTTTATCCGCCCGGCGCTCCGCTCGTTATTGTGAGCGTCGCTCCTCTGCCCTCCGTTGTTATCGCTGGAGGGCGACTGCCCCAAAGTGCACCTAGCCTGGCACTGCACCAGTAGCCTCCTCCTCCACAAAGGCCGATCTTGGATCACGGGAAGCGGGTTAAAAAACGACCGAAACATTTGCACGGTCGTAAGCGCGCAAGCAAGCAAGCGAACTTGATATAAAGGATTTAAATAAAAAACGACCGAAAGATTTGCACGGTCGTAAGCGCGCAAGCAAGCAAGCAAGTGAACTTAATATAAAGGATTTAAATTAAAAACGACCGAAACATTTGCACGGTCGTAAGCGCGCAAGCAAGCAAGTGAACTTAATATAAAGGATTTTACTGGTAGGAAATGAAGTGAACCAGCCCACAATAGATTATATCGTCCATCCGTCCGTCCGTGTAGCAACATCGCCCCCTACTGCAAACACTTGGCAGGACCCTACAAAAACCTTTAGACTCGGTGATGCTTTCCTGGCTAAACAAGTGTAACATTCCCTTATAATTCCCTGAGATAGCTTTTAATTAAAACATTTAAATTAAACATTAACTCACAGCGGCCTAAAGCCTACAGCTAGGCCTAAAGCCTAGAACTAGGCCTCAAACTCTCCCTTCGTATCGTACCCCCGCGTGTGTGAAAGGGAGTTAGTGTTTAACAATGTTACATTCCCTGATGTTTTTAAATAGAAACATTTACATTTAAAGTGTTTACATTAATAATTAAAACATTTAAATTAAAAATCAACTCACAGCGGCCTAAAGCCTACAGCTAGGCCTAAAGCCTAGAACTAGGCCTCAATCTCTCCCTTCGTATCGTCCGATTCGGTGTAGCAACATCGCCCCCTACTGCAAACACTTGGCAGGACCCTACAAAAACCTTTAGACTCAGTGAGGCTTTCCTGGCTAAACAAGTGTGATTATACATTATGTTTATATTCTTTGGTTATTCGTTCCTACCAGCCCACCCCGCAGGGACCTGTTAAAAAGGTGTCCGTTTTGTTGCCCGACGCAGCCTTCGCCTGCCGGAGGAGCTCGCCGATGGGAATGTGTCCGGATTCATATTCTTAGGTTTTTTCGGTAAAGTCACCAGGTAGGTAAAACATCAAAATTAATGAAAATAAAATGAAACAAAAATCACGACGTTTCGGAGGCAACACAAGTCTTCGTCATCAGGTGGGACCGTCACAGCCGAATTAGCTGCATCAGTGAGTAAGCAAGCAACTTGCTTATAAGGGATTACATCTTGAATCATTGCCTCACTTGATGCAGCTAATTCGGCTGTGACGGTCCCACCTGCTGACGGAGACTTGTGTTGCCTCCGAAACGTCGTGATTTTTGTTTCATTTTATTTTCATTAATTTTGATGTTTTACCTACACGGTGACTTTACCGAAAAAACCTAAGAATATGAATCCTTGCAGTCACGAAAGCTTCAAATCTAGAATTAATGTGTCCGGATCTTTCTCTCGCGCTCTCCCTCCGTGTCTCTCACCTGCGGCTCGCCGGGTACGACGGTGACGCAGGGGACGCAGCCATCCCGCAGCCCCGCGGCGCCATTGGGGCGGCAGCGCGCGGCCACGCGGACGGGGATCGCCGCGTCCTCCTCGTTTGACATCGCCGCTCTTCCTTTGTCGTTCACGCCGTCCCCGCTGCTGATGCTGCTGTTGCTGATGCTGCTGTTGCTGATGCTGTTGTTGCTGTTGCTGATGCTGCTGCTGCTGATGCTGTTGCTGCTGTTGCTGCTGCTGTTGCTGATGCTGTTGTTGCTGTTGCTGATGCTGCTGCTGCTGTTGCTGCTGCTGTTGCTGTTGCTGATGCTGTTGTTGCTGTTGCTGATGCTGCTGCTGCTGTTGCTGATGCTGTTGCTGTTGCTGATGCTGTTGTTGCTGATGCTGCTGCTGTTGCTGCTGCTGTTGCTGTTGCTGATGCTGTTGTTGCTGTTGCTGATGCTGCTGCTGTTGCTGTTGTTGCTGTTGCTGATGCTGCTGCTGCTGTTGCTGCTGCTGTTGCTGTTGCTGTTGCTGATGCTGTTGTTGCTGTTGCTGATGCTGCTGCTGTTGCTGTTGTTGCTGTTGCTGATGCTGCTGCTGCTGTTGCTGCTGCTGTTGCTGATGCTGTTGCTGTTGCTGATGCTGCTGCTGCTGTTGCTGCTGCTGTTGCTGATGCTGTTGCTGTTGCTGATGCTGCTGCTGCTGTTGCTGATGCTGTTGTTGCTGTTGCTGATGCTGCTGCTGCTGTTGCTGCTGATGTTGCTGCTGCTGTTGCTGATGCTGCTGATGTTGCTGCTGCTGTTGCTGCTGCTGTTGTTGCTGATGCTGCTGCTGTTGTTGCTGTTACTGAAAAAACGAACTGTGACAATGTTGTTAATATTGTTAATTTTCGATTTAAAGCTTTCGTGACTGCAGGGATTCATCTTCTTGGTTCTTTCGGTAAAGTCACGAAACGTCGTGAGAATTATTTCATTTTATTATGTTTTATTTTTATTATTTTATTACTTCCCTTCTACGTGACTTTACCGAAAGAACCAAGAAGATTGTTAATTTTATGAACTTTTAAAACATTAGAGACACACGCGCAACGCTGTGAGGTGCTTTGTATAGACGCGATTATTTATTTACTTTACAAACCGCCGCCAAAAATAAGCCCCAGCCACTTCCGCGTTTTAAAAACCTCGGCAACCAATCAGCGAGCGTCTTCCCGGTTCAAATTGACCAATCGCAAGGGCGAGTACGCGAGACCCCGCCCCTTCGCCCCACCCTGAACCCCCCTGACCCCACCCACTCCGAGGTTAAATCGACCAATGGGAGGGACGCACGGACGTGACGTCACCGGAAGTAGACACCGATGCGACTTGTTTTCTTCGACGCGTGGAAGTCGTCTACCGGTGGCGGTAGATGTCTTCCGGTGGCGGTAGATGTCTTCCGGTACTGGTAGATAATCTTCCGGTGGCGGAAGATCTCTGCCGAAACTGGTAGATGATCTACCGGTGGCGGTAGATGTCTTCCGGAAGAGGTAAATGATCTTCCGGTGGCGGAAGATGTCTTCCGGAAGAGGTAGATGATCTACCGGTGGCGGAAGATGTCTTCCGGAACTGGTAGATAATCTACCGGTGGCGGTAGATTCTTCCGGAAGAGGTAAATGATCTTCCGGTGGCGGAAGATGTCTTCCGGTACTGGTAGACACAGACAAAGGTCCCCCGTGTAGCCTCTAGCAGGCTCTAGGGACAAGTGCTGTTAGCGAGTAGCAGCGCTACCTATGAAGGCTACCGGCACTGTGGCTACACACACAGAGGGGGTGGGTGGCCAGCACCACGCCCGGCCGCCTTTGTCTCTCCCCCAGTGCTGGCGATGTTTATACGACACACACCGCTCATTTGAAAGTCCCTCTCAGTGTGGGGGGGGGGTGGGGGTGGTGGGGGGCTCAATCAAAAGCACCACAGCGTGTTACCAGTGACATTTCAATCGCGTCTTAGAAATGCAAATGTTTCCAACCCCCGCTGGGTGGCCATTGCGGGTGGCTATGAGATGTTGACGACCTCGCCTGGTACACAGGAGGTCGTGGGTTCGGTCCCGACCCTGACGATGTCTGCTGTTTATTTGGAGTCTGCGTCTCTATTATCATCATCACGGTGGCTATGAGATGTTAACTACCTCGCCTGGTCCGCAGGAGGTCGTGGGTTCGATCCCGGAACCTGACGCCTGCTGCTGCTGTATATTTGAAGTCTGCGTCTCTCTCTCTCATCATCATCATCACGGTGGCTATGAGATGTTGACGACCTCGCCTGGTACACAGGAGGTCGTGGGTTCGATCCCGACCCTGACGCCTGCTGCTGCTGTATATTTGAAGTCTGCGTCTCTCTCTCTCATCATCATCATCACGGTGGCTATGAGATGTTGACGACCTCGCCTGGTACACAGGAGGTCGTGGGTTCGATCCCGACCCTGACGCCTGCTGCTGCTGTATATTTGGAGCTTGTGTCTCTCTCATCATCATCATCACGGTGGCTATGAGATGTTGACTACCTCGCCTGGTGTGCAGGAGGTCGCGGGATCGATCCCGGACCCTGACAATGCACACAGACACACACACAGACACATAGAAACACACACAAAGACAGACACACAGACAGACACATGGATACACACAGACACACACACATAGATACACACACACATACACACACAGACAGACACACGCAGACAGACACACACAGACAGATAGACACAGATACATAGATACACACACAGACACACATAGATACACACACACATACATAGACACACAGACAGACACATGGATACACACAGACACACACACATACACACACACACAGACACATAGAAACACACACAAAGACAGACACACAGACAGACACATGGATACACACAGACACACACACATAGATACACACACAGACAGACACACGCAGACAGACACACACACACAGACAGACACACACACACAGACACATAGATACACACAGACAAAGACAGACACAGACAGACACACATAGATACACACACACAGACACACACAAAGACAGACAGACACATGGATACACACAGACAAACACACATAGATACACACACACACAAAGACAGACACACACACACACACACAAAGACAGACAGGCACATAGATACACAGACAGACACACACGCACACAAAGACACACACACAGACAGACACACACACAGACAGACACACACACACACACAAAGACACACACACACAGACAGACACACACACACACACACAGACACACACACAAAGACAGACAGACACATGGACGGACGATGGTGGACCGAGCCGTGGTGGTCGCGACGTTTCGGGCACGGACCTGGAAATAATTGACACCCGCGGTGTGAGGGAGGGAAGACCATCACAGACAATGAGTCGAAAGCAAAAGTTATATTTATTAAATATCCCTCCAAAATAAAACAATCATCATTATCATCATCAACAAATCCTCTAGCAATGCACACTTAAATCCTTAATATCCGTGGTGTGTATATATAATGCATAAGTGTCAATATATCACACGCACGCGTGTGCATGTGTATGTGTGTCTGTGTGTGTCTGTGTGTGTGTCTGTCTGTCTGTCTGTGTGTCTGTCTGTCTGTTTGTCTATGTGTCTCTGTCTGTGTGTGTCTTTGTGTCTCTGTGTCTGTGTCTCTGTGTGTCTGTATGTGTCTGTGTGTCTGAGGCTTTGTGTGTCTGTCTTTGTGTCTGTGTGTCTCTGTCTGTGTGTCTCTGTCTGTGTGTGTCTGTGTCTTTGTGTCTGTGTGTCTCTGTCTGTGTGTGTCTGTATGTGTCTGTGGCTTTGTGTGTCTGTGTGTATGTGTGTGTCTGTGTCTTTGTGTCTATGTGTGTCTGTGTCTTTGTGTCTGTGCGTGTCTGTGTCTTTGTGTCTGTGTGTCTGTGTCTCTGTATGTGTGCATCTCTGTGTCTGTGTCTTTGTGTCTCTGTCTTTGTGTGTGTGTGTCTTTGTGTGTGTCTGTATCTTTGTGTCTGTGTGTGTCTGTGTGTCTGTGTGTCTGTGTTTTTGTGTCTGTGTGTGTCTGTGTCTTTGTGTGTGTGTCTGTGTCTCTGTGTCTGTGTGTCTCTGTCTGTGTGTGTCTGTATGTGTCTGTGGCTTTGTGTGTCTGTGTGTGTATGTGTGTGTCTGTGTCTGTGTCTTTGTGTCTATGTGTGTCTGTGTCTTTGTGTCTGTGCGTGTCTGTGTCTTTGTGTCTGTGTGTCTGTGTCTCTGTATGTGTGCATCTCTGTGTCTGTGTCTTTGTGTCTCTGTCTTTGTGTGTGTCTGTGTCTTTGTGTGTGTCTGAACCTTTGTGTCTGTGTGTGTCTGTGTGTCTGTGTGTCTGTGTTTTTGTGTCTGTGTGTGTCTGTGTCTTTGTGTGTGTGTCTGTGTCTCTGTGTCTGTGTCTGTGTGTGTCTGTGTATTTGTGTCTGTCTTTGTGTCTGTGTGTGTCTGTGTGTCTCTGTCTGTGTGTCTGTGTCTCTGTCTGTGTGTGTCTGTGTGTCTGTCTGTGTGTCTCTGTCTGTGTGTCTGTGTCTTTGTGTCTCTATCTGTGTGTCTGTGTGTGTCTGTGTGTCTTTGTGTCTGTGTGTGTGTCTCTGTCTGTCTGTGTCTTTGTGTCTCTGTATGTCTGTGTGTGTCTGTCTGTGTGTCTGTGTGTCTCTGTGTGCGCGTGCGTGCGTGTGCGGTATAAATGCCGTGGGGGTTTTTTGGGGAGGGAGTTCAAGATTTTCTTTACAAGAGAGAGGAGAGAGAGAGAGGAGAGAGAGGCAAGGGTTTGGGGGGATCGCTGCGATACAAATGACACAGACAACGAGGAGAGGTGCTTGCGCGTGTTGAATTGTGACCATTTGTCACGCCGAGTCCACGAGAGATGGGGTGGTGGTGCTGTTGGGTCCAGTGCCGGATGAAGCTAGAGCAGGTCCTGTAGCATTTGCTGTTACTCTGGTCAACACACTTTTTTCTGGCACGAGGTATTCCAACGGTTTTAAGGTAATTTTGGGGTGCCGATTCCAAATTTGGCATCAGTCTATCACATCAGGTTTTTGAGATATCAAAGATTGCATTTTCAATAAGAACTGCGGAAGAAAAATATTAAATAAATGTGGATATCTACATGAAATGATATTATAAACACACTATGCTAAAAATACAGCACCATGTTTTAACACTAAAGCAGTCACTACCTCGCAACAACTTGCAATCATAAGTGACGGAGTTAATTTCGGGTAAAATAATTGAAAATAGGGTATGCCGATAGCATAAAAATTAGATGTGATGGAGCAAATCTGAGGTCAGATTTGGAATCGGCACCCTGAAATTAGTCTAGAACAACTGCAAAAGTCCAGGCCAGAAAAAAAAGTGTTTTTTTTGTTGACCAGTGTTACAGATTTGAGAGAAAAAAATATTAAAAGACAATTTGTTTTTAAATTTTGTTCAAATTTTCTTGCTGTGTTTTTCACACCTGATGATGATTGCTTGTGTTGCAAATACTCACGTCGTGAGCATTTTATCGTTTTAGAATTTTTTTTATTATTTTATTGTTTCCCTTCTACGTGACTTTACCGAAAGAACCGAGAATATGAATCCCTGCAGATACGAAAGCTTTAAATCAAATGTAGTTTTTTTTTTTACTTGCGTAGTAAAGTAATTTTTTTAATGTTTTCATTTGCTATACAGCCGGATGGATAAGACGAATCGGTAACCTTAAACACCGCGGTCGTTCGTAAAAGCTGAAGGGCAGTATAGTACTATAGCAATTGAGCAAGTGCAGAATCACCGAACCGAAATTGAGTGCTACTAGGGTAATGAGACATTGTTACGTAGCATTAGTAGCTACTTGTGCTACTAGGATAATGAGACACTGACAAGTAACATTAGTAGCTACTTGTGTTACTAGGATAATGAGACACTGACAAGTAACATTAGTAGCTAAATTTCATGGTGAAATTTACCACTTTTTTTACGTAATATATAGAATACTAAGATTTTTCGATTTAAAGCTTTCGTGACTGCAGGGATTCATCTTCTTGGTTCTTTCGGTAAAGTCACGTAGAAGGGAAGTAATAAAATAATAAAAATAAAACATAATAAAACAATTCTCACGACGTTTCGGCCACAACGCAAGCAGCCGTCCTCAGGTGAAAACCAGGTCCGTCGAGGCGACAGAGTCTGAATGAAACAGCACACGAGCTTGGAGCATATATATAATATATATATGCTTATATATATGCTCCAAGCTCGTGTGCTGTTTCATATATATGCTTATATATATGCTCCAAGCTCGTGTGCTGTTTCATTCAGACTCTGTCGCCTCGACGGACCTGGTTTTCACCTGAGGACGGCTGCTTGCGTTGTGGCCGAAACGTCGTGAGAATTGTTTTATTATGTTTTATTTTTATTAGAATACTAAGGCTAAGCACACCCGAGGATTGCACTTTTGTTGATAAATGAAGCTGTAAAAATTTGGCCATTATTGACCAAAAACGGCATAGGTTAGTATGCCAAAAACTTCATTTTAATCTAATACATGGCATACTAAGGATAAATACAATAGAGAAATTAACTTTCGTCCAAAAATAAAGCTGTCAAAAGTTTGGCTTATTGAGCCTAAAAACGGCACAGTATGCCGATTAACTTTTTTATATTCGAAAATTTAATACATGAAATTCCACACTTTTTAACGTAATATATAGGCTACTCAGGCTAAACACAACCAAGGAATGCACTTTTCGTTGAAAAATAAAGCTCGGAATATTGGGTCAATTTTGCCAAAAAACGGCCTCGGTTCGTATGGCGATTTTCCTTTTATGGACGTGACAATGTCATCGTGACATGTCGCCAGCGGTGTGCTGGAGAGCCAAGCCGCGACATCCACAAAGTGCTGCTCATAGCGAGTAGCAGACCCGGTGGAGGTCGTCACGGCACACACAGAGGGGGGGGTGGGTGGCCAGCCCCACGCCCGGCCGCCTTTGTCTCCCCAGTGCTGGCGATGTTGACACACCGCACCGGGGACTCGTTTGAGGCTGAGTCGACGTAGGGGAGGCTCAGGACCGGCTCAGAAAGTCGTCACTGGCGGCGTTGGCCACGAGCGGGAATGGAACTCGGCTGGTCGGTGCGGAGCGCAGCGCTCACCACGAAACTGCCAACAACAACAAACTTGAACTCTGACCCCGCCCTCTGACGTCACCGCTCAGCGTGACCTCATCGGCGTCAAACGCCAGGGGGAGGTGTGCCTCGCTAGTGACGTCATGTCACCAAGGTATTCACCCCACCCAACTCACGCGCTCTTGAGCGTGACGTCACCTCCGCTCGGCCGCTGCCGATGTCTGTTTCAGTGCCAATCCTTATTTGGGCAAAGCTACGCCCGGTGACTGGCGGCTCATTAACATAATTTATTTAAGTTGCAGAGCCGCTCGTTGTGGGAGGAGAGTGTCTTTTCCTGCAAGTGACGTCATGTCACCTCGTGACGTCACGATGTAACAGGAAGTTGCCGCTCCGCGCTCGCACTGCAATCCGAGGTGAGAAATTCTCATCGCGGTTGTTGTGGTGGTTGTTGTTGTGGTTGTTGTTGTGGTGGTTGTTGTTGTTGTGGTGGTTGTTGTTGTGGTGGTTGTTGTTGTGGTGGTTGTTGTTGTGGTTGTTGTTGTTGTGGTTGTTGTGGTTGTTGTTGTGGTGGTGGTTGTTGTTGTGGTGGTTGTTGTTGTTTACCGAGGTAGAGCCTCGCGCTCTCTCTCGTAGGGATGTCAATTGAGTAGCAGCAGCATGGAAGCGATGTGCAGGGTGGAACTTTACAACGCGGGGCCTAGTGCCTCCTGCCCTCGCCTGGTCGCGTTTGCTTCAATTCTCTCGCTTAAGTTTAATTTGTCTTGACCTGGATCGCCACTTTGTAACTTTGTTTAAATATTCTATACTAACACCGTTTTTTTTCTTCATTTTTTTACCAGGCCACGCCCGCTTGAGCTGCTGTACCGCTCTTGTTTTCAGAAGCGACCTGCCCACAACAACAATAACAACAAGGTGAGGCTCGTCAACAGCGTGGCGGTGTTCACTCTAGACGTGTGGCGGTGTTCACTCTAGACGCGTGGTGGTGTTCACTCTAGACGCGTGGCGGTGTTCACTCTAGACGCGTGGCGGTGTTCACTCTAGACGTGTGGTGGTGTTCACTCTAGACGCGTGGAGGTGTTCACTCTAGACGTGTGGCGGTGTTCACTCTAGACGCGTGGCGGTGTTCACTCTAGACGCGTGGAGGTGTTCACTCTAGACGCGTGGCGGTGTTCACTCTAGACGCGTGGCGGTGTTCACTCTAGACGCGTGGCGGTGTTCACTCTAGACGCGTGGCGGTGTTCACTCTAGACGCGTGGCGGTGTTCACTCTAGACGCGTTGTGGTGTTCACTCTAGACGCGTGGCGGTGTTCACTCTAGACGCGTGGCGGTGTTCACTCTAGACGCGTGGAGGTGTTCACTCTAGACGCGTGGCGGTGTTCACTCTAGACGCGTTGTGGTGTTCACTCTAGACGCGTGGCGGTGTTCACTCTAGACGCGTGGCGGTGTTCACTCTAGACGCGTGGAGGTGTTCACTCTAGACGCGTGGCGGTGTTCACTCTAGACGCGTGGCGGTGTTCACTCTAGACGCGTGGCGGTGTTCACTCTAGACGCGTGGCGGTGTTCACTCTAGACGCGTGGCGGTGTTCACTCTAGACGCGTTGTGGTGTTCACTCTAGACGCGTGGCGGTGTTCACTCTAGACGCGTGGCGGTGTTCACTCTAGACGCGTGGCGGTGTTCACTCTAGACACGTGGCGGTGTTCACTCTAGACGCGTGGCGGTGTTCACTCTAGATGCGTGGTGGTGTTCACTCTAGATGCGTGGCGGTGTTCACTCTGGACACGTGGCGGTGTTCACTCTAGACGCGTGGCGGTGTTCACTCTGGACACGTGGCGGTGTTCACTCTAGATGCGTGGCGGTGTTCACTCTAGACACGTGGCGGTGTTCACTCTAGATGCGTGGCGGTGTTCACTCTAGACGCGTGGTGGTGTTCACTCTATACGCGTGGCGGTGTTCACTCTAGACGCGTGGTGGTGTTCACTCTTGACACGTGGCGGTGTTCACTCTAGACGCGTGGCGGTGTTCACTCTGGACGCGTGGCGGTGTTCACTCTAGACGCGTGGCGGTGTTCACTCTAGACGCGTGGCGGTGTTCACTCTGGACACGTGGCGGTGTTCACTCTAGACGCGTGGCGGTGTTCACTCTAGACACGTGGCGGTGTTCACTCTAGATGCGTGGCGGTGTTCACTCTAGACGCGTGGTGGTGTTCACTCTATACGCGTGGCGGTGTTCACTCTAGACGCGTGGTGGTGTTCACTCTTGACACGTGGCGGTGTTCACTCTAGACGCGTGGCGGTGTTCACTCTGGACGCGTGGCGGTGTTCACTCTATACGCGTGGCGGTGTTCACTCTAGACGCGTGGCGGTGTTCACTCTGGACACGTGGCGGTGTTCACTCTAGACGCGTGGCGGTGTTCACTCTAGACACGTGGCGGTGTTCACTCTAGATGCGTGGCGGTGTTCACTCTAGACGCGTGGTGGTGTTCACTCTATACGCGTGGCGGTGTTCACTCTAGACGCGTGGTGGTGTTCACTCTTGACACGTGGCGGTGTTCACTCTAGACGCGTGGCGGTGTTCACTCTGGACGCGTGGCGGTGTTCACTCTAGACGCGTGGCGGTGTTCACTCTAGACGCGTGGTGGTGTTCACTCTAGACGCGTGGCGGTGTTCACTCTAGACGCGTGGCGGTGTTCACTCTAGACGCGTGGCGGTGTTCACTCTAGACGCGTGGCGGTGTTCACTCTAGACGCGTGGCGGTGTTCACTCTAGACGCGTGGCGGTGTTCACTCTAGACGCGTGGCGGTGTTCACTCTAGACGCGTGGCGGTGTTCACTCTAGACGCGTGGCGGTGTTCACTCTAGACGTGTGGCGGTGTTCACTCTAGACGTGTGGTGTTCACTCTAGACGTGTGGCGGTGTTCACTCTGGACGCGTGGCGGTGTTCACTCTAGACGCGTGGTGGTGTTCACTCTGGACGCGTGGCGGTGTTCACTCTAGACGCGTGGCGGTGTTCACTCTGGACGCGTGGCGGTGTTCACTCTAGACGCGTGGCGGTGTTCACTCTAGACACGTGGTGGTGTTCACTCTGGACGCGTGGTGGTGTTCACTCTAGACACGTGGCGGTGTTCACTCTAGACACGTGGCGGTGTTCACTCTAGACACGTGGCGGTGTTCACTCTAGACGCGTGGCGGTGTTCACTCTGGGTGTTCACTCTGGGCGCGTGGCGGTGTTCACTCTGGACGCGTGGCGGTGTTCACTCTGGACGCGTGGCGGTGTTCACTCTGGACGCGTGGCGGTGTTCACTCTAGACACGTGGCGGTGTTCACTCTAGACACGTGGCGGTGTTCACTCTAGACGCGTGGCGGTGTTCACTCTGGACGCGTGGAGGTGTTCACTCTAGACACGTGGCGGTGTTCACTCTGGACGCGTGGCGGTGTTCACTCTAGACGCGTGGCGGTGTTCACTCTAGACACGTGGCGGTGTTCACTCTGGACGCGTGGCGGTGTTCACTCTGGACACGTGGCGGTGTTCACTCTACACGCGTGGCGGTGTTCACTCTGGACGCGTGGAGGTGTTCACTCTAGACACGTGGCGGTGTTCACTCTGGACGCGTGGCGGTGTTCACTCTAGACGCGTGGCGGTGTTCACTCTAGACACGTGGCGGTGTTCACTCTGGACGTGTGGCGGTGTTCACTCTGGACGCGTGGCGGTGTTCACTCTAGACACGTGGCGGTGTTCACTCTAGACGCGTGGCGGTGTTCACTCTAGACGCGTGGCGGTGTTCACTCTAGACACGTGGCGGTGTTCACTCTGGACGCGTGGCGGTGTTCACTCTGGACACGTGGCGGTGTTCACTCTACACGCGTGGCGGTGTTCACTCTGGACGCGTGGAGGTGTTCACTCTAGACACGTGGCGGTGTTCACTCTGGACGCGTGGCGGTGTTCACTCTAGACGCGTGGTGGTGTTCACTCTGGACGTGTGGCGGTGTTCACTCTAGACGCGTGGCGGTGTTCACTCTAGACACGTGGCGGTGTTCACTCTAGACACGTGGCGGTGTTCACTCTAGACACGTGGCGGTGTTCACTCTAGACACGTGGCGGTGTTCACTCTAGACGCGTGGCGGTGTTCACTCTAGATGCGTGGCGGTGTTCACTCTGGTCACTTGGCGGTGTTCACTCTGGACACGTGGCGGTGTTCACTCTAGACACGTGGCGGTGTTCACTCTGGACGCGTGGCGGTGTTCACTCTAGACACGTGGCGGTGTTCACTCTAGACACGTGGCGGTGTTCACTCTGGACGCGTGGAGGTGTTCACTCTAGACACGTGGCGGTGTTCACTCTAGACGCGTGGCGGTGTACACTCTAGACGCGTGGCGGTGTTCACTCTGGACACGTGGCGGTGTTCACTCTAGACGCGTGGTGGTGTTCACTCTAGACGCGTGGCGGTGTTCACTCTAGACGCGTGGTGGTGTTCACTCTAGACACGTGGTGGTGTTCACTTTAGACACGTGGAGGTGTTCACTCTAGACACGTGGTGGTGTTCACTCTAGATGCGTGGCAGTGTTCACTCTAGATGCGTGGTGGTGTTCACTCTAGATGCGTGGTGGTGTTCACTCTAGACGCGTGGCGGTGTTCACTCTAGATGCGTGGTGGTATTCACTTTAGACGCGTGGTGGTGTTCACTCTAGACGCGTGGTGGTGTTCACTCTAGACGCGTGGTGGTGTTCACTTTAGACACGTGGCGGTGTTCACTTTAGATGCGTGGTGGTGTTCACTTTAGACACGTGGCGGTGTTCACTCTAGACGCGTGGTGGTGTTCACTCTAGACGCGTGGTGGTGTTCACTTTAGACACCTGGCTGTGTTCACTCTAGACGCGTGGCGGTGTTCACTCTAGATGGGTGGTGGTGTTCACTCTAGATGCATGGTGGTGTTCACTCTAGATGCGTGGTGGTGTTCACTCTAGACACGTGGCGGTGTTCACTCTAGACACGTGGTGGTGTTCACTCTGGACACGTGGCGGTGTTCACTCTGGACGCGTGGCGGTGTTCACTCTGGATGCGTGGTGGTATTCACTCTCTTCATGTGGAGGGGAAACCGCGGGATCCGGAGGGAAATCCACGCGACCACGGGGAGAGAGAGAGAGACACACAGCCTCGGCTGTGTTTGTTGATCCTCAATGAATTTCTTAGTGGAGTGAGGAAGCATTCATACTGAGCAGGTGAAGGTGGCCAGGCGTGGGTCTGGACACACCACCACCTGTGAACCATGTTAGTGTGTGACAGTGGTGGAGCCAGTGGGGGTGGGGTGGCACGTGGCCCCCCAACGGTTCAATCGAAATCCCTAATTTCAATCGTATCATTGGGGTTTATTAGTAACTTGCTTCACTACCCAGCTTCGCCCGGGACTTGCATTCTTGTCTTGGATTAATTTAATATTCCCTTATCTTTCACTGAAAAACCCTGAAAAAATGTATGCTTGCTTGAAAGTAAAAAGCCAAAACAAATCAAGTTACCTAAATCGGATGATTTCACTCAAGGAAATTAAACCTTAACCCACTTTTACGTAAAGTCGATTTTAGTATGGAACCTACCCACATGCCAAATTTCAGGTGTGTCACATGTTGGAAAGTATGCTAAACATTTCGAACAGAAACACACATCCACACATTTCCCTTTTTTATATGTAAGATAAATCAGCATTTTGCGACCCCCCCCCACTGCCACCGTGTGGAATATTATTACGTTCCAGGGACTCTGAGAGGAAAACAGTCCGAGTCCATAATTGGCAATAATTAACGGCAAAGCAGTTACAAGCGACTCACACAATTGTGCGCAGTTGCGTATACCGCACACGACTTCCCTGAAGGCAAACACTTTCAGTGAGCACGATGGCGATCACACGCGTCGAATAAAAAGCATAGGACAAGTCCTTAGTAACAACTCCTTACTAACAACTCCTATCATTTTTCATTGCTGGAGGGGTTTCCCCCCCTCCCTGAAAATCCTGGCTCCGCCTCTGTGTGACAGTGTCAAGTTTGTATTTGCAGTAAAGTCAATTAACTATTGAGCACGGAGGTTATATCAAAACAGTAGTTTATTTTAGTTTTCCTCTGGAACTCTTTGTAAGAATGGAGTCAGGAAGTTATTACAGCACGTGCAGCTAAAGTCGGAACTGTTCATCCCAGCATTCAAGAACATCTGTGCCTGGCTTCACACCACTAAGTTGCAATTGAACATTAATTTATGCATTTGTGCATAACACAAATAGTATTATTTTCAACACCCTTTGCTATGTCAGCTGAATTTAGCTATTATAAATATTCCTTTTGAAGCCAGACCGCCGAAATTGTGTGCTCGGAGATTTGGGTTAACATTCATTTTGAAGATACTAGGGCTTCCAGGCATGTTTATGACCATTTGCCCTCTCATTGTGTGCCATAACAGCCCGTGTGATGAATTTGGGACACTTTTTCACTATATCATGAATATTTGAATAAGTATAGACGTGTAAGTCACGTGTATATGCATTCCTCTGTGCATTGATACTGACGTGTAGATGGTGTGGATATCTTTTTTTCAGTCTGCAGCTGTTGCTTCCTCTGCAGAATTGGTCTGATGGAGCAAAGGCACTCGGCGCAGCTCGGTACGACAAGGCAACAATGTGACCGGTGTGCATACAGCACTGATTGGACTGGACATTTGACACGGCACCAGAGAACTCACACAGGAGAGAAACCCTTCAAGTGCAGTGTGTGTGGGAAGGCGTTTGCAGAGTCATCTGCTCTTAAAAAACACCAGACAACACACACGGGAGAGAAACCCTTCAAGTGCAGTGTGTGTGGGAAGGCGTTTTCAGATTCATCAAATCTTCATGTACACCAGAGAACACACACGGGAGAGAAACCCTTCAAGTGCAGTGTGTGTGGGAAGGCGTTTGCACTTTCTTCTACTCTTGTAATACACCAGAGAATACACACGGGAGAGAAACCCTTTAAGTGTAGTGTGTGTGGGAAGGCGTTTGCACTTTCATCTACTCTTGTAGAACACCAGAGAACACACACGGGAGAAAAACCCTTCAAGTGCAGTGTGTGTGGGAAGGCGTTTGCACAGTCATCTGCTCTTGTAGCACACCAGAGAACACACACGGGAGAGAAACCCTTCAAGTGCAGTGTGTGTGTGAAGGCGTTTGCACATTCATCTGCTCTTGTAATACACCAGAGAATACACACGGGAGAGAATCCCTTCAGGTGCACTCCGTGCGGGATGGCGTTTGCACAGTCATCAAATCTTCATGTACACCAGAGAACACGCAAGCATCAGAAGATCCACAAGGAGTGGAGTCTGAAATCAGCTTGTGAAAGTCAAAGTCCCACAATGAGCCCATTCCTCATCAAACAAGAACCGGAAGAAAATCCCAGCTTGGACACTTTTAAAGGTAACGAGGTGAAATACGAAGAGGTAAAGGTGGAATGTGAAGAATGGATGGTGAAGAGCGAAGAAGTGAAGGTAAAATGTGAAGATGAAGATTCAACTCCAAAATGGTCCGATTTCACATCGATGGAGGCAACGTGAAGCAGGAGGAGAATTCTGACTGAGGCAGAGTGAGGCAACTCCCAGCAGTTAGTGGAAGTGGAGGTGTGGGTGGACTTTCTCCGAGACAATACAAAGTCAAATGGAGACCCGGTAGATGTGTAAGCCAGAGACGATGTCGCTGCAATAGATGCACCTTTGTCACAGGCCTTTTAATGACAAGAATGTGAAGTTGAACACTAAATTCCTAGGTTCAACCTGCAGGGTAAGAGCGGTCAGTCTTTGTGGACCCGTGGGTTGAGTCGATCTCTAAGCAGGAGCGAGAGCCAATAAGCTCCCAAGCATTTACTACATTCTAATAATTGCATTTGTATGGTGCTTGCTTAATCGCCTCTGGCAATTCGGAGTTTCGTATCGTCTCAAACACTCGAAGAGCATCTCCAAGTAGCAGCTGCCCCTATGTGGCACAAGGTGGTGGCCCTGCACCGGCCTGCATGTGGACGAGCCTGTCAGTGGGGGGCGATGGTTGATGTGGCATCTCAGTTGTGGAGTTTGTCGGTAATGTTTAGAATTTGATAAATTTTGACCGAGACGCCAGCATGCAATGGCGTACTCGTTTTGAATGACACAATAGTATGTTGTACATACACTGTTAAGCAGACCGTGCGTATTTGTAAATAGCTTCTTGTTAATGTGATGTAACCTGATGCAGCATATTTAAGTGCAGTAATTAAATTTGGTTAAAATTAATCAATAATTTAGAAGGAATACTTGTCTGATTGTGTGCGTACATGTAACATTTTGTCTATAAGGGTCTAATATTGAATAAGTGATGTTAGGACAAAGTGTGTGTTTTGCAAGTAACCTGTACAGATTACTCATTGTTCTTGTGATATAGGTCAATGGGTATGTTTGTGTTTTTAGGAAGCGACCCGTCGTGTCAACGATTAACTCCCCTACGTACAAACTAGCCCGTTTTCTATCAGACACTCTACTTCCCTTCGCAGGCAAGACCTCTTCGGCAGTACTCAACTCAACCCAATTAGTCTCTATGGTCAAGGACATGGTACTATCTCCTAATGATTTCCTCGTCTGTTTTGATGTAGTATCTCTGTTTACCAAAGTTCCAGTGCCTGACACCCTAACAATAATTGAGGATTCATCTTCTTGGTTTTTTCGGTAAAGTCTTCACCTGAAGACGGCTGCTTGTGTTGAAGCCGAAACGTCGTGAGAATTATTTTATTATGTTTTATTTTTATTATTTTATTACTTCCCTTCTACGTGACTTTACTGAAAAAACCAAGAAGAAGAATAATTGAGGACTTGGTCCAACATGGATTGAATTCGGATGTACCTGTGCGTGTTAGGCATTGCCTCACCAACACTTATTTTACCTGGAATGGCACCTTCTACAAACAGAATGAGGGTACCCCTATGGGCTCCCCCTTGTCACCAGTGATAGCCAACCTGTTCATGGAAAAATTTTAATCAGACGCCATCAAGACATCCACCCTGCGTCCTTCCCTGTGGAAGAGGTATGTGGATGACACTTTCATCATTTGGCCACATGGCCTCCCAGCATTGAACCACTTCTTGGACCACATCAATTCCAGACATCCATCCATCAGATTCACCATGGAAGTGGAGAAAGATGGCAAGCTACCATTCTTAGATATTCTGTTTGAGAGGAGACCTGATGGATCCTTGGGACATTCTGTCTACAGGAAAGCCACCCACACAGATTCCTACTTGAAACCGGATTCCCACCACCACCCATCTCAAAAGAATGCTCTCATCAAAACGCTTTTCCACAGAGCTCATGGCATTTCTGACCAACACCACCTGGCCAGTGAATTAAGACATGTACATTGGGCCCTCAGGATGAACGGACACTCTGAACGCACCATCCGCCAAGCTGTTTCTCCCACCATACAGAAACAGCCACTTAAAACTCCGATCAAAACTATCACGTTACCATACATAGCAGGCGTGACCAAAAAGATCTCCAAAATTCTAAACAAACATAAGATCTAAGTCTGATTCAGTACAGTACATAAAATCCGTGATCTAATTCCATCTATGAAGGATGTCATCCCTGACTTGCAATACCCTGGAGTCTATAAACTGAGTTGCAGCTGTGGTGACTGTTACATTGGGGAAACGAAACGTCATGTCTCTGATCGTGTCCGCGAGCACAAGTCAGATTTGAAACACGGCAAAATTGAGTCTTCGCCGTTGCCGATCATTGCTCCAACGCGGTGGGCTCTCATGATATTGTTTTTTCCGAGACTAAGGTGCTCTGCAAACCCTCTGGCTACCATCAAAGGTTTGTACACGAAGCCATTCAGATATACAAACACAGACATAATTTCAACCATGATAATGGGTACAAACTTAGTTATCATTGGAAAGATGTTATCAACCATGCAAAAAAGATTTAACTACATATTTTTTGACCATCTTATCTGACAGGCACTATTTTACTTTACCGAGTGTTAACATCCCCAGCGTTTAACAGTACTCTCTTTATTGTCAGCCAACACTGGTATAAACATGGGCATTTTCGTTTCTTTTCTATCGTGTGCATCCACAGTGACTTGCGCACAAACACGTCCACGTCGACAACGCCCACGAGTACCTCCTGCTCTCTTTTAGCCCCGCCCCTGCCCCCTCCCGATACGTTCCATTCATTGGCTACCACATTCTGATAAGCTCCTCCCCCCCTCTCTTCCCCCCTTAACTTGTATTTAAGAGCTTGCAATCTTGAATCCCTGCCTCACTTGATGCAGCAAATCTGGCTGTGACGGTCCCACCTGATGACGGAGACTTATGTTGCCTCCGAAACGTGATTTTATAGTTTTATTTTTATTAATTTTAATTGCATTTTTCAGGAAGCGTCTGCCTCTGGAGCAACTAATTGTCTTTGAAATAGGGAGCACACTCAGATCATTCATCAGTTACAAGGCATACCACTCAAAGTTACACTAAAAGAAGGAACATTCTCTACAACAAGAATTATAATTTTGTCTTACGTGTTGACGTAGATTTTGTCCAACTAGGACTAGAAATGCTCCTTGCTGATTAACGTCTGGATGTCCGTAACAATGGTTGAAGCAAGCCCGTCTGCTGTTGAGATGCTGTGCACCAATAAGGGTCCACGGGTGGCTTGCACTCAATCAATGATGCACTCCCAGAAGGCTGTGCTCGGTATAGTTTGTGTAAAATATTCCTTTGTTTCGTGGAGAGATCGATAAATAAAAGATGTCGTGTCTGCTGATCTGCTTCATCGCGTAATGTGAGCGTATGCTGGGGCTTCGCCGCCCCAGCCCCGAAGCCAACCAGGCGCCATCGGGGTCAGGGTTTAAGGGCAGAGCCCGCTGGGCGTTAGGGGGTAGTATTATCTGGAAAGTTCTTAAGGGGTGTGGCGAAGGGCGGGGTCTGGGTGACGTGGGAAGAGGATATAAGGGGGAGCCGGAAGGGGCTCGGGATCAGTTGGTGAGAGCTGGAGGCTGGGCCACGTGGCGGGTCTCGGCGAGCCATCGGCCACGTGGCGATGCGGAGACGGCTCCCAGCGCGCCGTCTACCAGCGGTGCGCGGGAGCAGGGGGAGCGAGAGCGAGAGAGCGGGACGCGAGCTGTCCAAATAACGAAGAAATAAACAGACGTAGACACAGTCGCTTGTCGTCGACCTGGTTTATTACAATAGCAAGGAGGTAATTTTAAGAGCACATTTGGAATGCATTTTTGGTACAGATTTGTAATTCGTTTACAAGGCAGAGCACATCTAGTAGATACATTCTCCACAACAACACTCATTAGAATTTTGCGTGACGTCTTATATGTTGGCAAACTCGCACAAGAAATGGTCCTTGCCGATTAACGTCTGGATGTTCACAACCATGGGGTGAAGCAAGCCTGACCGCCTGCGGCGCCCCTCACAACCATTTACGGCCTTGGGCCAGGAAAGTCACGAAGAAAATTGCACACGAACGACGCATCCACGCAAGCACCCGATGCTCCGTTTAGAAGTTTTTAAATGTAACAACTTAGAATTGTATTATGTTTTGAATTAGATAATTGTATTTATTCATTAAAAGCTTAAATATTTTATTTTTTTGCTTTGTTTTTATGACGCTGAGACTGTGTACTGCCAGTCTGTGCTGTTGCCTGCTGCCTGCTCGTTAATTAACGTCAGTGCACTCACACTATTATCTACACTGCTAATTTTGCTTTTTCTCATTGAGTGTATGCCAGTCTATAGTGTGTTGCCTGCTTGTTTAACACACTCGGTGTACTGCCAGCCTTTCACGTCGGCTGTATCCTGCTTTCTCAGCTGCTGCCCGTATTGTCAGCTTTTTATGTCGACTGTAGCAATGCTTATGTCATTGAGTCGGCGTACTGGCAGTCTATAATCTAGACCAGGGATGTCCAAACTTTTTGCAAAGAGGGCCACATTTGATAAAGTGAAGATGACCAGGGGCCAATAGTTCCTTTTGACATTTTTTTTAACCACAAAAGTTACGTGGAAATACACACTGTTATAAACAATTTTCAGTGTCACAATTACCTTCATTTTTCAAATGACAATTGTAACCAAATATAAGCCACTCACGCAGACGGGAACAACGCTAAAAACGCAATTCTGCCTTTCATTCAGTCTGATAACATTGAACAAACTGTATAGAATACCTTAAATTTCCATGAGTTTTATTATGTACTTATTCTGACAGCTGGCGAGC